TAAGTGAAAGTTGGATACCACCCTAGGTCAAAGTGAACTCTCTGAATTTTTATCCTAAAAAAGAATAGTATCAAAGGGTTCAGTTATCCATGCTTCTTCTACTGGGAATATTATTGCAAGCAGAAAGGCAATTTTATGTAGCAATTTAAGATGGGGACATGCTGTCAGGGGTTTAATAGCTTTCCCATTTAAAAAAGATAGACGACTTACTGTGCAATTTATTCCCAACAAGAAGAAAAAGTTCAATTAAACCTTTCAAAATGTGGAAGAAGGAAACAACCTTTACTCCGAGGATGTAGAGAAGCAGCTAAAGGAACCTGGATGGAGCCAACAGGTATCAGAGCCCCTTGGCACCACCGAGTAGTCCAGACCTGCTGACAACACATTCACCTTCTGTAGCACCATCTGCCATGGGCTTCGTTCACTTTGCCAAGTAACTCTTCCCAGTGCACAAGCTTTCTGCTGCTAATGAGGACGCATCTAGCAGAAGAACAGGAACCCTGGTCACACTCCAACAGCATCCCCATTACACTGAAAGAAAGATCCACACACAGGTTTTTTTTGGACAGAGAAGCATGTAAGATCTTGACAGGAAATCTGCCTGGCCAGGCAGGAGAAAGCAGCTGTTCAGGCTGTTCAGAGCTCTGAAAGGCAACACGCTAACAGACCTCCATGTGCCAGTGTTAGAAATTCATGAGGAAGAGAGAATCAGTAAGTGACTTGCACCATTCTAGCTACTGTGCAGATGACAGTGACAGTATTATCCATAATTAATTGGACGAATTTTCTCGTAACATACAGTAAAAGGGGAGATGAGCATAACCAACGATTCCAAGCTTCACGGTATTAACACAGACTTTTCACTCAGCCCAAATTCTGAGATTTCAAACTGGAGTGAAGAGCATTGTCTTTGAGCGTGGTGCTGCATGCAGTAGATGGCATCCCTTTGCAAATGCTCTCTGGTACCTGTGACTAACAAGGTGACAAAATATTGTCACACCTATTGCGTAACTGCTGGGAAGACACAGTTGTTCAAGCCACGTTTGCAAACCTGCCATGCAAAGTCTGCTGTATGGAGCCACGTAGTACAGCTGCCATACGACTCGGCAGCTCCAGGCAGGGCCTGTCCAGGATGCAGCAAGACTTGCCAGGATGTTACTAGTTCCCCTGGGAGACAAAACCTGACAGTTGAATCTCTGGAAAGTCCTAGATGGGTTAGTGTCTTTATTAGGGAAAAGTGCTTCATGACTTCCAGCTCATCAGCTAGCTGGAGCCCTAATTGCTAGAAAGTCTACATCAGTCCTTTCCCTCAGATAGGATCTTCAAACAAAAAGCCATGGTTGAGAAATAGAAAAATCTGTAGCAAGGAGCATCTTCCAGGAACAATTCCAGCCGAGGCAGTACAGCAGCAGCAACACAGGCATCCAGGAAGGTTAGAAGAATAGAGCTGGTGCCTACAGCTATGAAAGACTGAATCTTTCCAAACACCTGTTGCAGGAGACCAAAGAGACAGAAGACAGAGGAACTTAACAGATATCTGAAGAGAGTGATGTGTAACTACAATTCAAAACTGTATCAACAGCTGAAAACAATTTTCTTTGCAAAAGAAGTCAACATAAAACATAAGGATCTTAGTTGCAGATGAAAGCTTTTCCTTAACTAACTGCAAAAGAAAACTGCCAAAGAAGAAGTTAGGCTGGGCAAAGAAAGAAATTCCTCCTACCTCAAAAGCTCTGACTCTTGTAAATTAGTATGAAATAAAGAAAACCAAAACACAAAAGAAACCCCCACATATCATTATTCAGTGATTATGGGCACAAGAGCAGTGCCAATGCCAATGAGATGGCACCTCAGCTCAGAATGTTCCTCTGGCAGAAAAATTCCAAAAGTCAAAGCAGTAATTTTAAAAAATCCGGAATTGCCTCATTATCATCTTATGTCTGTAAAGGAGATGGTGTTTTGGTGAGGACAGAATATTATTCTAGGAACAGCAATAGGGATGACACATTCACAAAAACATCCATCTCCTAATTCCAAGAAAGGAGTTGAAATTTAACTACATATACAGTAATCAAATGTTAATTTAGGGTTAGAGTGAGTGACTGCCCCTTAAGGCACAGCTGACTCACAAGTACCCCCAAAGTGCAGCAACAGAGCAATGCTTAGGGCACATCACTCCTTCCCTGCAGCAGAATGTGCAATATTGGCCGCTGCAGCCAAACTCACAGTGACAAAGGACTCTGCTAAGTCCTCAGGATATCATAATGAGCAATACTGGAAAGACAGGGTGACAGTAAGATACAGTCCCGCTTTGACCCAAAGACTTAGGAGACATGGCGTAACAACGCAGTATTTTCTCACGTATCTTTGGGGCTACTCCTGCAATGAGGCTGCTCCAAAAAGGAACAGAAGTGTTTTTAATTCCCTCTGGCTTCAGTTATACATACCCTTTACGGATCTTTTAACTTCAACAGCACCAGTATCCACCAAAAGATAAGGTGCTCCTACAATTAATAAAACAAGTCTGAAAAGGAGACACTACATTGCTGCAAGAGATCAGTCTAAGCAGGGAAAGTTGACCAAAGTTGAGCAGTTGGCCACAGCATCTTAGGATCAAGGTGAGTGAAAAAAATACACAGACCTTCAAAGGTATCTGAGGGCCTTAATAGTTTAAAAAAAAAAAAAAAGTGCAATTGTAAAATCATCAAACATGGGACTCTACTGGATCAGTCACGTGGTTTTATAATTCTGTTAAGCCCCTCCTTTTGCGGGAGTTCGAGTGTGCCACCACAGATGATGAAATACCATCCCAATCGCACTGCTTGCAGTGTGATTGTACAGGCTGAAGTCAATCTCTTAAGAAATTATAAAGACCATTTCTCTATTACATGAAATAGTTGCTTAGCAAAGGCGTAACAGGAAAACCAAGAGCAACATATGCAACAGTTCTTTCATCAGTTTCTCATCACTATTCCTTAAACACCCATACCAAGTAATTAATACAGAAAACACATCCCGCAACGCCAATAAACGCTTTCTGAACACCTGCCTAGGAAGGAAACAAGATTTGCCCCAGAGGAAGTTCACTTTATTTGAGTTGCAGGTGTAGAAAGATCCAATAAAGGCCCTTTCATTAAACAATGTCAGATACATTTGAAAGGACAGCATCAGGTTCAGGATGGATAGTAAGTGATAAGCTGGTAATCTAGTAACAGGTTTCAGAGCACCTGCCCATTTCTTTGTAGTCTGGCTTCAGCTAGAGATCCAATAGGAAGGAGAAAAATCTGGGGTTTTTTTTCCCCCTCAAGCAATATACAGAGGGCCAGTTATCTGCATGTCACTGAAGAGTGTCTCCAGATCACACAGTAAGGTTAAAATTGCATTTTAATGTTAGTGAAGCCATTGTGAAGGGCATTAACTCAGCCTCTGCCATTTGGTTAGCGTCTGCTTTAAAGCGGTGCCTGAAAATCCTCTTCCCCAGTTTGCCTGATGCTAGTGACAGTTTGGCAAGTTGTCACTCCTCAGTGAACGACAGCTCCAGGCTTTGGAAGGGTGTGGAGGGTGGGAGAGGAAAGCTATTGCATGGTGAGCAAATAGAGAGGCCAACAAGCTTCCAGTGTGCCACTTGATGCTGACTGCAGAGAGAGAGTGTGTGTCTGTGCAATGTATGTATGTATGCATGTATTTTTAAGGGGTTAGGTAGCACATTAATCCTTGTAACTCCCAAGTTATCTGTGACCATTTGTATATTATGAAAGTTTTCATGTGATAAACAGACTAGTACTCTTTAGGCTGGAAGAGAGATTCTTCTGTAAAACAACAATAAGATCACAGGCAGCAACTAAGCATGTAAGAAAATTCATTCAAAGCAGGCCAAAGTAGATTTCTACAGAACAAAATGAACTTGTGAAGCTCATTGATACAGGATGTTATAGAGGGCAATATAAAAATCAAAAGGGAACAAAATAAGCTTATGGAAAACAGGCCTAGCATATCTATTAAGACAGAAGCAATCTCCACCTCATCAAGTAACTGAACAGCAAAATACCAGAACTAAGGACAGCCACTGGTGAAGGATCACCTGTATATCCATCCATTTCACATGCTATTGCCCTACGCTTGGGCAACCTCAAGACCATGAGCATTACAAGAAACAGGACATCAGGCTAATACAAGAGTCTCAGGGAAGCCTTCTGTCACTTGGCCTTGGGTCTCTCAAAATGCAGAAACGATGTATGCTAAAATTAATTCATTCACAATTATTCTATTCCCTGTTTCGGAGCAAAACCAATTATTTGCATGATAGGACACACAACCGCACATACTGGGTTAAAAAGTAAGGACACAATGACAAGTTGATCTGTCCCAATTTCTGAGTTTTGTTGTTCAAAAATCAGTTTATTTCAGCTTGTTCCATTTGCAATGTCTGGTTAGGACAGAGCACTCAGCTTCCACTGATTAAAAACTGCTTTTAAAAATTAGTCTGAGCCCACTCAACATGAGACAAGGCAAAACAAAAATCAAGTAATGTTTCTGGTGCTGAAAGACAGTATTTTTTAGGAACAAAACATGTAGCATCTCATGTCAACACCTTTATCATTCATTCTTTTTTTTTTTTAATCCATCACCTACAATCTTTCTTACTTAACAGACTACTGTAACATATACACCTCTGCACATAGTAAACTAGTCCTGCCATCACTATTTTTGTTGTTATTTTTAAGCAAAGAAAAAGTCACGTTTATTTTGTAGTAGCAATAGTTTCTTTTTTATTTTTAATATACTTTAGGAAACAATATACAAAGCTGAGCTTTGCCACCATTTTCAAACGGCGGGTTGCTCCAATTACACAAATTCAGCGTTTTGTGGTGGTTAAGAACAGCAGTCAGCACCAGACTTAAAACAGTTAGCTACAACACAAACATCCTTCGAAATGAAATGTCATAATATCAAGACAGGTAAACCAGGAGTTAACATATGACAACTGTTGGGGAGGTGTCTTAAATCATTCTTGTTGAATTTTATATTTCATTAAATATTTTATACACATTTTCCTGTTTACAAGTTTTAAACAAAACCTCCCTTGAGGAATTATCTAAGTACAAAAATGTTCAACAAGAACAGTTCTAATAAAGAGTCCCCAAACAGACCAAATTTTAATGTGTTGACCAAAGGAAATGAAAACCAGTGTTTCTTTGTTTTAACATGTTTATTACAACAGATACAATTCACATCTGACTAGCTTTTTTTTTTTCTCTTTCCCCTCCCACAACCATGTTAACATGTTCATTGGGCTATTTCCTTATATTTGAGCAAGTAATGTACTTTCAGCACACATGCCCAGCAGTACTATAAGTCCATTCTTACAGGGTGCAAATGGAAATACGTTTCAATAATTTATACAAACAAGTGGGTTATGCTCAATCACTGCAATTTTAAGCTACTGTACACAGGAATGAAAAGATTATAGAAAAAGTGCCATAGCAACAGTGCCTTAAGAAAAGAGGAAATTAGAAGCATTAAAAAACTGATAAAATCAGATTTAGGATTTCACGGGGAAATGGAACACAGAAAATGAAAAACATTTCTCTGTAAAACAGAAATGGAGAAGCACTGCTCTCGATTCGGTGCAAGTGTGGAAACAAGTTGTTTCATGATATTTTGTACATTACCCAAATTGTTGCAGCCTTAGACACAGATCGCCTGGCGCTTGCATTGAATTTTAGGAAATGCAAGATTTCTGAATGATAAATTAACTAAAAAAAAAAAAAAAAAAAAAAAAAAAAAAGAAAGCTAATTTTGCAGACAGGTTTACATGTAAAAGGCTAGGTATTTAGCCACCTCAGCATTGATTAGTTTTGGATGTCTAAGCTCTGATACACATGGCTTCCCATGGCTTCACTCTACAAAACATATTTACAACGTGAAGAATACATCTACAAGAAATCTACATTTCAAGGGTTTTACAAATCATTCTTGTATCTTTCCCCTGAATTTGACTCCCTCCTGTCCCCTTCCCCATGTCAACTTTTTTTCTGCCCAGCTCAACGGTCCAAAGTCTACTCAAATGCAGCTCAAAAGTGTTAAGACTGGGCATCAGTTTAATAGTTCCTGTACTCAAAACCATGTGCAATTGTTTACAACTTTTCACACCATGAAGGAATTCTGATTCTTTAGCTTTTCAAGTTCTTTAATTTGTTGTCTCAAAAATAGTATCCTGCAAGAGAAAAGAATTAAATTAGGATAAACATTTCCGTTACACACAGATATTAACTAAGTATCTACTCAAATACTTCTTAAATCTCAGCAAACGATGACAAGCTCCTTAGCTCTATTAATAAGTTTAATGTATTTTAAATTAATTCCCAACCTGTTCAATCACCTACACACACTGTATGCAGATGCATACAGACCTGCAATATTAGATTCCTTAGTTCAGAAAATTAAGTTGCTGTATTCCATTATGACTGATACACAGTTATGTTTAAGCCTGCTCTTCACTTTGACTCCCAGAAAAAAGCGGGACACTGGAAGAGTACGCTGAGTAACTGAATATTCCGAAGAACATGACACAGGAATTATGCCTGTGTCATGCAGTTTTCCAGGCTGTACAATAACGCAAAGCACTCATACATTTTTTTTTAAACGGGGAAGTTTTCTTCTACACACAACACTTCCTTTCTAGTATTTGGCTCTGTGGCTAGTACAATAAAAATTCTAAAGGTAGTCTCTAGTTATGGTAAGCTCTAATTTCAAAATATTTGATCATTAAAAGATATAAAAGGAAAAAAAATCTATACCTGGCTTAGAAATAATTTGTACTGCAATTCCCTTATAAATTTTTCCCTTTTCTACTGAACTGACAAACTACTGCCATGATTAATGAACATTTGATTTACATACTGTTTCCCAGAATTTCTAATTAATATTTTGTAACAACTTTTCATGATGCTGAAGTGTAACGCAAGTATGTCACTGAATTAAGAAAGTATTAAAGGAAAGTTGATGTTTCGTATAAATGTAATAATAAAAGTCCAAAGCAACTTTAATAAATGCAGAAAAAGCATCCAATTCAGCAGACTTTTGTAGAATGTTTTTCAATTTTGTGCCCAGTTCAGTAAAAATAACTTTCTACTGAAAAATAGGTGAAAAACCATTAGGATACACACACAGAAAAAACCATTAAACTTAAAAGGCGTGAGCATATGAAGTAGACCAGTCAATGAAAAGTGCCTTTTCACATGCTGTCAGTTACGGTTAAAACAATATACTTGCTTTGCCCAGAGATAAAGTTCCCTCTTAGAACAAATTTAAACAGTTCTCTTCTGTGCAAAAGTATAGAAATAATATCATTATTCAAACATGCTGGCTTTGATAATCCCATCCTTTGCAAAAGCCTCCCCCCACCAACTTGTTACTTATGCCATATATTCCACGTCTTTGGGATGGCAGCAAAAATAAAAGATACACGTTATCATAGATGCAAAGTCATAATCATCATTATCCATTGACAGCTTAATGATACACAGTGTACAAGAATCAAGGTGCTATTTAGTGAGCTGAAAAATGACATTTGATGTGTTATTTCAGATAAAATGCGCACCCAGAGACAGAAATGAAACCTTAGGCAGTTTTATTTAATCTGTAAGAAACCAAGCAGTTGATTAAATATTCTTTAGAAACTCTAATTTATGTAATGAAATTATGAAATAAAATTTTGGAAAGAATATGCATTTTAGATTCTTTATTAGGAAAGATTTACAAATATATTATAGCCTATTTCTGACTACAAGGATTGCTTTACCAGCTGCCAAAAAGCAAGAGCTTCTAGTATAAAGCTAGCTGTTTAAACAGCATACAACACTATTGGAGTGGCTTAAAACAGTAAATCAGAATCACTGTATTCAAACTATAGTGCACTTAATAGACAGGATAAGATCATTCAGCAAGGAAACTGAGTATGAAAGTAGATTCAGGATCATGACTACAGGTGAAAAGTTTCAGCATGTCTTGTAAGACTAAACTTTTCAATATTGCACAACAGTCTGTAATAACGTGGCTGTGTATTGCTTCAGTGATATGCAAGACACCCTCTATTACTAACTTAAGCAGCAGAAATATACTTTGCCATAATCAACATCTCACTAAAGAACCCCAAGATCTTCTCAGATGTCTCCTACCTAAGTAACAAACATTAATTTTTCCTTAGGTTTTGATACCAATGAGACCTCTTCGAACTTGTTCTGGCTTTAGGCCTAACAAAAGTCTCATACAAGCTGTAGTGTTTAAGATCAGTATACACACAGCATCAAGGGTTTCTCCCTTCCTCTCTGACTCCCCCAGCAAATAGGTTGTGGGTGGACAAAAGGCAGGGAGGAAACGCAGCTGGGACAGCTGATCCAAACTAACCACAGAGATATTCCATACATCAACAGTGTTGATAACACACCAATGGTGTTAACATACATATCTACACATGTAGATGTGCACCTATGTGATCTATGCATTGTGAATGGACAGGTATTTTAGAAGTATACTGAACTAGTGTGTGTTAATCAGTTTTTCCTAATGCACTAATGTATCCAGAACGATACTTTTCTATCTAAGTGAAAATACATAGGGAAGTTGCATATCTGGTTGTATTCACTACAGACTAAGAGGTATCCGTGTGGGAAATGGTTGCAAGACAACTTGCAAACCTGGCAAATACTAGCATACTTACAAAGCCATCAGTAAGTACAGCTCATGGAAAACAATGCCAGAATGGGAATTCTAATACCACCTTGAAAATTACCATTTTGAAAATAAACACAAGAGCACACACTTACCTTTGCTCACGCAAAGTTGCTTGAATTTCACATACTCGAACTAAAGACCTTAAATTCTTTAATTCAGTACAAATTTCTGACATATGGACACTTCCCATGTTATGGGCTTCCTCACGTAATCTTGATGCCTGCAATGATTACACGTAAACAGGATTTTGGATCATGCACTGGAAACAACTGGCTGTAGCCTGATGATTGCTGGATGAATGTGTCTTGAAACAGCAAAGCATTCTAACTTCAAAAGGAAGTATTAAATCAGAGGTACATTAACTTCTCTACGAAAGCCCATTTAGAATCAGAAATGACAACACCAGCTGCCAAGAGATTGTCTAACTCAGGCTCATGCCAAGGCAGGGATGGTCTAGACTTCTGTGACCCTAACATCTTGAAAGACAGGCCATGACAGGGCTCAGAGTTTTCAAAGTAATTTGTTCAAGTAGTTGAAAGTCTCTGTCCACTATTTCAATGGCAAACTTAAATTTCCCATCTAAATTAAGCTTTAGTGACAAAAATAACTGAATGCCATCTTCTTTCCAGCTACCTTATACAGGAAAAAAAAAAAATTTGCAACCCTCTTCAGGTGTTCTCTTCCAGACAAACACCATGATTTTAATATCCCCACTTAGTCAGGTGGAGACAAGCAGAAGCGTAAATTTAGAAGGCATGACCTATCATCAATTTGTGCATTTCTTAAAGTCTTGTCACTGAACTGGATATACGACTCCAGTTAACTCCTCAACAGCACCAAGGAGACTAGTATAATTACTTTGAGGTTCTGTGTATCACACTGCAATCAGGAAAGAGAACTTCTTGCAAGTGTCACACTGGGGCGGGGTGGGGAGGAAAGTTTCAAATAGATCCTTTGCTGCAGTATTACTGTCTAGCAATGTTATTCTCTGCTGTACTGGGTCTGGCTGGGAGGGAGTTAATTTTCTTCATAGCAGCCCATATGGTGGTATGTTCCAGATTTGTGACCAAAGCAGCATCGGTAACACACCAATGTTTTAACTATGGCTGACCACTGCTTACACAGCATGGAAGGGTTTCTCCCTTTCTCTCTTTGACTCCCCCAGCAAATAGGTTGTGGGTGGACAAAAGGCAGGGAGGAAATGCAGCTGGGACAGCTGATTGAAACTGGATATTCCACAAGGATATTCCATACCATACAATGCCATGCTCAACAATAAAACTGGGGGCTGGTTTTCCAGGGGTTGCCATGGCTCGGGGACTGGCTGGGCATCAGTTGGCTGGTGGCAATAATTTCCTCTGCCACACCTTTTTACTTATTAAGATGTCTTTACCTCAACCCAGGAGTTTTCTCACTTTTGCCCTTCCAATTCTCTCCCCCACCCCACTGAGGGAGAGTGAGCGGCTCTGTGGTGCTTAGCTGCCTACTGGGGTTCATCCACGACATCTGCTTAAGTGCATGTATACTTGATTTTTTCCTTCCCCAAAATAATGATATTTAGCACATGTCTCCATCAACAACTGGCATCTTTCCAGTTCAAAGTAGCACTTTGTGTCCTAATTTCCTACACTAAAAGTTTTCTTTTCTGGAGTGTTGACATACAGATGCACCCTGGTCTCCAGTAGGACATCATTTCATATTCCCGCCCTACACAACTCCAAAGCCTTGAAACTCATAGCAAACTATCAAGAACGACTTTCAAAGTACTTCTTTTTAAGCTGACCAGTCAGCCATCTTAAAATAACCTCATTTAAAAAGCCTTAAAATAATTTTTGCACACAAGATTCTTATTAAGAGGTGTTAACCGTCTTGCTGCAAATCAGGATATAACATTTATTGCTCTCCCACATTACCAAAGTTATCAAAAGAAAAACAAACAAAAAACCCAACATAATTTCTTTCTAAAAGGTCCATGCTGACTATTACCAGGGTTTTCAGGTGTTTGTAAAAAAGTAAATTTATCGCTTTTTTCTACTTAGATATTGTTCAGTACTCAAAGTACCTCTACAATTACTGAACTGAGATGACCTATAATTCTGTTTCTCACATTCCTTAAAGATAATATAGTTACGTTGATTATTTTCTTATTAACCACATTACTGCATTGTTTTCCAGTTTTCCATATTAACTGCTTCTTATGACTTCTGCGAGATAACTGCTAGTGGTTCAAGAATTGTTTTAGCTACTACTTACTGCACAGCACATTTCTTCAAGTCTGACTGTTTTAACACATACCTGTCCTGGCTCACTAATTTGTTTACTTACTTATTTTTCATTGTACTCTGGCATGTGTTCTTACGCCCTAATTTAAATTTAAGCTATGCATCCAGTTAGAAATCTGAAGAAACCAAGTCAGTGCACATTTTTGCCTCCCCACTTTCATCTAGCTTACCTTCTTTACTATGTATTGCATCTATACTTTCATTCACTTTTTCTTTTATGTCAAATATCTGACCTAAGTCCCTCAAGTGTTAACTATTCAAAATTGGTCGATAAACAACACTGTCATGTGAAATAATCTTAAATAGCAGACAGGACAACACAGCATGTAACACTTGGCACAAAGGTGAAAGTATCCAGCTGAGTACATGACTGCCTAGCATTAGCTGTTTTTTTTTAATCTCTGTTACTGGTAGTGGGAAAAAAACATGACCGATGAACTGTATAAACCTGTATTTTCTGCATTAAGATATGTATCAATTCACTAAACAGGAAAAATAATACTATCAAAACTATGGGCCAAGGCCATAGAGAGAAGTGGCTGTGCTGTACCGTTTCCTTAGACATGTTCCACAGCAATGGCTCAGTTGTTGGACTCAGTACAGGGTGGTAATATCTTAAAATTGAATTGAAAAAATAAATGAAAAGAAACAAAACAAGAACCCTAGAGTCCAAATACTGGATCAACTTAGACTGCACTTTTAAGAGTCATCCTGCAAGTTACTACCCAAAAGCCTCCAGTGTAGGCTTGAGCCAGCATGCAACCACTCTTCAAAAGGACTTGAACTAGACTCAATCAATAGAGTAATACATTCCAAGCAGCCAACATGCATCCAGTTCCCCTTTATTACCACAACAGGATAGGTTTCATGCAGTTAGTTATAAAATATGGATGGCAATTCTACTGGAATTCCCATTATGTAAAAAAGCCCCAATTCAGTCAGCCTTCTACATCATCTTAAAACCTAGGTACAACAAACAAGGAAGAATTCCTTTTTTACTGTGTAGAGCTAACAACTCAGTGACTCAAACTGTGGAGTAGTCTCAAATAGTGTAACTCTGTCACCTAATTCATATTTTTGTTATGTGGAAAATGTTATAATTCCTACAAAAACTTGTTGAAATTTATGTTCTTTGTAAATTTCAACAAAACTTTGTCAGTAAGAAAATACTTACAAGAATAGCTATTCATCTGAGAGAATTTCAAAAGCACTGGTACTTTAAGCACGACTAAAAATACTCAACTGCTAAATGGCAATCACATGTAAAACCTGCAGGTCTGGCCTAATCTCTCTCCTCTCTCTTTTCTGGCTAAGGCCAAGCATCAGGGTTTTTTTAAATACTTTTAATTCCCAGAAAAAGCAACCTGTGTAAGAAACCCAGATTTTAAGCTACACATTTTGCACTCTCACAGGGAACAACACACAAAGTGTACTCACCTGCTTTTCTGCATGATCTGCAGGCCAGCCTTGAACGTGCTTTATAAGATTTTCATTGAAGTGTGCTGCTAGCGTAGGTGTTAATGAACAACTGGGTCGTACAGATGTATTTTGTGGTGCAGGTGTTGAATTTGATGCACTAGTGCTAGAGGTATGATTTGGACCTGGTGATGGGCTTCTTTGACTACTAGAAGAAAGAATTTTTTAAAAAGTAAGCATTTAAAAACATGTAAAACTACAGAGAAATAAACACTTAAAATTCATTGCTTCCAGCCACAAAAATACATGAAGAATTTAAACCACAAGTAAATACTTCTGGTAGACCAAACCTGTGCCACTTTTCCACAAACCTCCTACTTGTATGGGAACTGTTTGAGTGCTACAATATAACAGGGTTTTGGGGTTTTTTTGGTTGGGCTGTTTTTTTTTTTCAATTTTGATAGCTGTTCAAGAAATGCAAACTGTGTCCAAATTTTAGTGTTGGATAGAGGATATACACATGTATGTTCTTTCTTAAATAGCTGCAAACCTACGATTTTCAATAATCAGAGATCAGATGGAGTCAAGCAGGTTTATTCAACAGAGTATCGGCAAGTGTCACAATAATGATGAAGTAGACAGCCTGATGTCCTGATCTAAAAATATAGCCATATGGGCTTTAAGGAGTATCAACATATACAAATGCCAAAACACAAACACCTTGGTGACTCTGTGGTACTGTACATCCTCACTTAAAGTGCTCAGGAGAACGGAATTATCACAGGAGCAGTATGTTTGTAGCTACCAGCTTTGACTGCTTTACTGGAACATAGTCATGCTGCCATTTTTCTGGTTGGTGTGTTAATCTCTTGCTGGAGAACAGACACATGGAGACACATTCAGCTGATACGTGTACTGTAAGATGAATCAAATACTGTGCCTTGGACAAAGCCTTTGTCCTCTTTCAGATCTCCGTATACAAGCAAACACAATATTTACATTATCTGAACACTACACCAATACACAGCTTTTCCAATTCTACTCTGCAACTATAATTCTTAGTCAAAAACTTTTCTAATTTTTACTAAAAAACTCTTACGTTGATCTTGGCATATCAGTCTTTTGCCATCCACAGTGGTCAAGATTGTTATCTACAAAGTATTCTAGCCATTGCTTTAAGCAATTTTTGTTTGGGTTTTTTTAACTGCATTCCTCTAATAATTACCTCCTGACTCCACTTTACATGACATTTTTCCTCTCTACCTCATCATGCTCCTCATGTATGGGAGGGGCCTTCTTAAGAATCCCATCTCTTTATAAAAGCCTATGCCTGGTGCAATGACCAAAAAAAAAGGTAGGTACTGCTTAGTTAAGTCTTTGGCAAACTGATATAACTGACTAATCCACAAGGACTCTTGTACTCCCAATTTGCAAATACTCATCATTCACCTTACACTTGGATGGTAAGCTCTCTACGTAAAGTAGTAGGGTTTTTTTGTTTCACTTGTATCAGTTCTTTCAATAAAGCTATGATATACAACCTGAACACCTAACATTAGTTAACCTACAAGCTTATTAAACTGCAAGCTACAGAAGTTCCCCCCAAACATGTAAAAATCACCGATACTTACTTTCCATGTGTCCAGAAGCCCAGGTATCAGGGCCAGCATGAACACTACACTCTCATATTGCATGGATCCAACCACATCTGACACGACTGCCAGAGCTGCAGCCACACAGCTCTGCTACGTGTGAGAGTTCATTGCTGTTCTTTAACTTGAATATTACCAGCAACAGACAACTCCACTGTGACTTTCACCAGCATCAAAAACTGCTGTTAGGTATATCACTTATCAAATGAAGGATCAGAACATGGGGTTTTGTCTCCTTCTTGCAAGAACTACTGTCCAGGTGATCTGATCTTCTAGGAAACCAGAACTTGCACTGGGAGGGGTATATAAACCATGGTGGGGAAGCTTAGAAGCTGACATTTCAGCACGTGCCCTTTTCTACTCCCCCGTCCCTTGCAAAAAACAAGGCCTCTACACTCCTAACTCCCCTTTCCAGTATTTGTTCAGTCACTCACACCCACTCCCCCCAACTCACAGACAGGGGCTCTGTTCTTCTATTTTGCAAAGAAGAGTAGGAGCAGCACTAGTTCTCCTTGCCCATGTTTGCAGGGATAGGTCAGGATGAAAACAGCCTGCTCTGTCTTCTCCACCCTTGTAAGGGAAGACAAAGGAACCAGTAATCTTGGGCAGCACAAAGGAACATCACTAGCACCATAGCAGTGATGGTACCCCACAGTTACAATGTTCTTTAGCAGTACATGTAACTGATAAATAGTAGTACTCGTTATCACAGAATCATAGAATCATTAAGGTTGGAAAAGACTTTTAAGATCATCAAGTCCAACTGTCAACCCAACACCAGCATGCCCACTAAACCATGTCCCCAGCCATGTCTACAGGTTTTTTGAACACTTCCAGTGATAGTAACTCCAACACCTCTAC